ATGATGATGATGATGATGATGATGATGATGATGATGATGATGATGATGATGATGATGATGATGATGATGATGATGATGATGATGATGATGATGATGATGATGATGATGATGATGATGATGATGATGATGATGATGATGATGATGATGATGATGATGATGATGATGATGATGATGATGATGATGATGATGATGATGATGATGATGATGATGATGATGATGATGATGATGATGATGATGATGATGATGATGATGATGATGATGATGATGATGATGATGATGATGATGATGATGATGATGATGATGATGATGATGATGATGATGATGATGATGATGATGATGATGATGATGATGATGATGATGATGATGATGATGATGATGATGATGATGATGATGATGATGATGATGATGATGATGATGATGATGATGATGATGAGAACTGAGAACTGAGAACTGGTGCGAAGCAGCGAGTAGAGGTTGCTCTGTGTAGCTGCATCATTCGTCGTTTTCGGACATGAACTTTTTATTTATCGTTTCGCTCTTTGTACTTTGCCTCTGCAAATTGTTTGTCTAGTAGCATCTTGAATTTAGCCACTGTGTTCGCTTCTACTATATGCTGAGGCAGGTCGTTCCAGACATTCACCACTCTTCGTTCGAAACAGAGTTGATGGGCGACCCGCTTCAAATCCGGGACGATAAGTTTATACCGGTGTCCTCGCGTGCAGCTTGGTGTGCGCAGATGAAGTAGTTGTCTCAACATGGGGTAATCACCCAGATGTAATATCCGGTGCGTCATGATGAGGTCAACCCTCAGCCGACGATAAGATAGGGTGTATAACCCTAGTTTCTTACATCGGTCTTCGTATGGCATACCTCGTAAGTTGGGAATCAGCCTAGTGGCTACATGCTGCACCCGCTCAAGCTTTTCTACTTCGCCCCGGGTGATGGGACAGTATGCGGGAGTGCCGTACTCTAGCATTGGTCGTATTATCGAGACGAAGAGGCGAGTGGCAATCTCTTCGGACCAAGTGCTAAAGCTGCGCCTGAGAGCCCAAAGCATACGAAGGCTGTTTTGGTACAGCCTATTCGTGTTGTCAATGGACTTTAGGTCGCAGCGTGAGAGTACACCGAGGTCGCGCACGAAAGGAGCGGGATGCAACGGTTGTCCAGCCACTGTGTACGTTCGGCCGTGATCACACTTACCCAACCTCATGAATTGCGACTTGGCAGGGTTGATCGGAAGGTTAACCTCTGCAGACCATGTTGAGAGGCGGTCGAGATCCTGCTGAAGTAAATCGCAATCATTGAGTGTGCGGATTACTCTCCACACTTTCAAGTCATCTGCGAACAAAGCACAATGTGATTGTAGTAGCTGAGGCACATCGTTTATATGGATTAGAAACAATATCGGGCCCAGTACAGTGCCTTGGGGCACGCCGCTGCTCGATGGATACCACTCAGTTAGATGGTTGTCCACCTGGACTCTCCACTTCCGATCAATAAGGAAATTGCTGATCCATTTGTGCAGCGAACCACCAACACCGCACATCCTCAGTCTGTCAAGGAGCACTGCATGGTTAACCTTGTCAAAAGCCTTACTGAAGTCAATGTAAATGACGTCAACCGATTGGCCTTTGTTCAGCGCTTGTAACCATTCGTGCCTCGTCAACAGTAGGTTGGTGATGCACGAACGACCTTTCAGGAAACCATGCTGTGCGGAGGTTAACAGGTTTTTCGACTCGAGAAGTTGCAGAAGGCTCTTCTTCACAATCCTCTCGAGCGTCTTTGCCAAAACTGCCGTCAGGCAGATCGGCCGGTAGTTATCCACTTTGCTTGGGTTACCACCTTTCGGGATAGGCTTTACGACTGAGCATTTCCAGTCGTCCGGTAGTAGACCAGTGGATAGTGACCTGTTAAACAGTTCAGTTACAGAAGGTGCAATTATGGTCGATAATGACTTGAGGATTAGTGGGTGTATACCATCTGGCCCAGCAGGTTTCGTCCCGTCAAGATTTGCTAGAATCTTGCGTACATCCTCAATATTGCAGTCCAGGCTGTTAAGTTCGGCTGGAGCGGTGCTCGTCGAACTCATTACAGACACCTGGTCACTTGCGAATACGGAGGCGAAGTGCGTTGCCAATGCTGACGCACGATCTGTACTCGAGGTTAGAGGCTGTCCTTCTGAGCCTTCTAACACTGGGATATTAGCTATAGGCCTTAGGCGCCGCTTCACATATGCGAAGATCCTCTTGGGAGCAGTTTTTGCGGCAGTTGCAAGCTCCTCTTCGAAGCTTCTGCGTTTGCTTGTTTTCGCCTTGTTGCATCGATTTCGCTGGACCTTGTAGGCATTGTAATCCTCATCAGAGCCAGATAACACGAATTTGTTCCATAGTCTACGTCGCCGTCGGGCCATTTTGTTGTACTCTTTGTCAAACCAATGTGGTTTGACTGGTCCAACTTTCCGAAATTTGAGGGGCACAAATCGGGCGCACAACGATTTCAC